AAGGAAGTTATAAAAAGAAAAAGAAAAAGTTACGTTGACATTATTGTAGTTGTATCATGCTATATGAAAGTTATAAAAAAGGTAAAATTAAATTGATGTTATTGTATTATATTGTACCACATTGGCACATTATTCGAAAATTAAAAAAAAAGTAAAATTAAATTGACGTTATTATATTATATTGTATGACACTATACGAAAGTGATAAAAAGAGTAAAATTAAATTGATGTTATTGTATTATATTGTATGACACTACACTAAAAAGGTAAATTAATTTAACATTATTGTATTATGCTGTATTACATGCGGAAGTTATAAAAAATTAGAATTAATAAACAATAAAATTTTCCACTACCGGGATTCAAACCCGGGTGTGAAACAAAGCTCAATCAAATTTTCTGGGCTACAACCGAATTCTAATTATTAGAAGAATTAAAATGTTATTTAAAGGCTAGGAGAACACATTGCGATTTATGATCAATTTTAGCTTCCTGTCGACTAAGACTGTGGACTAGAAATGGGTTTTGGAATTTTCAAATTTTAAACACTTTGTTTGGGAAATATCAGAGAGGGACCTAGAAGACACGTGATTGGATTATGAGATTATAATGGGGGGTTTTACTATAACAAAAACACACCCCGACAAAACCCACCTCTGAGCAGTCACTTGTTTATGTATTTTTGGGCAAGTTGAAACATAAAATGAATTATAAGGGACAAATTCGTGACACAATATTTTTAAATAATTTTTAGCACATGTTTTTGTAGGACTTGCTTAGTAATGTATTTTAACTATCTTAATTGTCTAATTTTTTAATTTTCATTCAAAGATTATGTCTACTAAAAATCATCAAATCTGAAATTAGATGACTATTGGATTAAGTGTTGAGGGTTTCTTCGAAGAACCCTACAATACCTTTAAGATCCACCACCAATTCAAATCATTAAAATCCAGTACGATGTGAGTCTCACAAAAATTTGTGTCGAAATTTATATAAAAATGTAGTGTCATAAAACTGCCTATATATATCCATATTGACAATGTAAACCATTAATCTAAGGTGAATGAGGATTCTCTTTGTGAGGATTCCAGGTATCCTCCAATCGTATCCGTTTATCGTATATCATGCGTTAAAAAATCATTGTAATTTTTTTTATTTAAAATTAAATATAAACAGTGTCTGACGAAAACTGATCACATGATGTATGATAAATATACACGATTGGAGGATCTTGACGGTTTATGATGATGGGGAGCTCCTCCACTTAATTGACGGTTTATGATGATGGGGAGCAGCCTCTCCATAAATGGGGGTAAGGCTAGCCGACATTCACCTCTCCCAGACCTTGCGTAAAGCGGGAGCCTTGTGCACTGGGTACGACCGTCGTCTGTTTTTAGTAGGATCACTCTCTCGTTTTGTCAAGGAAAGTTTTTGTGATTTTGGTTGTGGTCACTCTCTTCATTTAAGGACTAGAACTTTTGCAACAGTTATGACTTACTGCTTAACTCTAAATCTTAAAGCAACAATTGTTGTTAAAATTTGAGGTGGTAATTTTGTAGTTTGTGCGCTTGTCAAGGATTATGCGGAGGAAACTCGACGCTTGTTACAGATTACTCATAATAGGTTTTTGCCGATGATTGCAAGATCATTAATAGGTGGTGTTGTCTTTCCCTCATGGGGCGTTGTTGCGGTTTGAGGGATTCACAACCATGTTTTCTTGTCATTGCATAGACTCCAGGTGATGGTACAACAATTATCTTGTTTGTCTTGATAGTGTTGGGTCCGTCTTGTAAAGCTTAGGCCTTGTGAGCTTATCTTTTTTGTTGGTTTAGGCATAGATTCGTTGTTGAGGAATCATACCTTAAAGAGTTTATTTTGTGCTTTGTCATTTTTTTTTTAGTGGTTTGTTGTTTGTTCTTTGGGCAAAGGATTATGAGGACATCTTCGTGATGTCTTATAGCAACGCTTCTTGGCAAAGGACCGTCGTCTTTTGCAAGTCCATTAGAAAGTGATGCAAAGTTTTATCCTCGTGAATGTATCTTATTATTTGGTTCGATGTTGTTGTGTGGATTATATTTTGTATTAATTGTTCTATTGCATTTGTAATCATATAATTATATTTTGGGCAAAAGACTGTTTACTACCATCATGTTTCGTGGTTTTCAACATTTAGTACATCAATTTTTTTCGTCCCAGAGTCATACCTAAAGTGTAAATTTTGGAACAGTCTCATACATCCGTTAGTCAAACTATTAAATCTGCCGTTAACTGTGACGTGGCGGCCATGTGGCCAATGACTAGGCACCCCGTGTCATCCACGTGGAAATTTAAAAAAAATATATATATATTATAAAATTTAAAAAAAAAAAAAAAAAAACCGAATCTGGGCAAATTCGGAAGAAGAAGAAGAAGGAGAAGGAGAAGGAAGAAGAAGGAAGAAGGAGAAGGAAGGAGGATGAAGAAGGAGGAAGAAGAAAAAAAAAAGAAAAAAATTGGGCAGATTCGAAGAAGAAAAAGAAGAAGAAGAAGAAGAAGGAGAAGGAAGAAGGAGGAAGAAGAAAAAAAAAGAAACTGGGCAGATTCGAAGAAGAGGAAGAAGAAGGAAGAAGAAGAAGAAGAAGAAGGAGAAGGAAGGAGGAAGAAGAAAAAAAAAACTGGGCAGATTCGAAGAAGAAGAAGAAGAAGGAGAAAGAAGAAGGAAGAAGAAGAAGAAAAAAAAAAGGGCAGATTCAGAAGAAGGAGAATGAAGAAGGAAGAAGAAGGAGAAGGAAAGAGGAAGAAGAAAGAAAGAAAGAAAGAAAGAAAAAAAAAAAAAACGAATCTGCTACCTAGATTCAGAGGAAGAAGAAGGAAGAAGAAGAAGAAGGAAAAGGAAGGAGGGAAGAAGAAAAAAAAAAAAAGTTTTTTTTTTAAATTTATTTATTTATTATTTTATAATATATATATATATTTTATTTTATTTTTAAATTTTCACGTGGATGACACGTGGTGCCCAGTTATTGTCCACATGGCTCCACGTCACTGTTAACGGCAGACTTAATAGTTTGACTAACGGATGTATGAGATTGTCCCAAAATTTACACTTGAGGTATGACTCTGGGACGAAAAAAACTTGATGTACTAAATGTTGAAAACTACGAAACATAAGGGTAGTAAACAGTCTTTTACCCTTATATTTTTTATCGATGATATTTCTCTTCTATTTAATCAATAAAATGTTTATAAGCTTAAAAAGTACCGCTAGGTTCTCTGGTAGGCACGAATTCACGTCCCTTGGGTAATCTGTCCAATTATACTCAAGTTCTGGGGATTATGACCAATGTTTTTGAAAGAAAAAATATGCATGAAGTTGTTTCTGGTACACAATTTTGAAAGCAAATAGAACAATTCAATTAAAAAATAGGCAACATTGCAATCTGACAGAGCAGCCTCACCACAATCAGGAAAGGGAGCCTCTCGGATACCTTCCACCAAGTCCATCAAGTCAATCAATCCGAATTCTTGAAGTTTGATCTAACATCTACAAACAGGAGGCTCATTTAAAAGTTATAATGATTTTAGCGATTAGATCAAAATTCATGGGTCCAGATTTGTAGACTTAGTGGAAGGGATCCGTAGAGGATACCTTTCCCCACAATGATTTTGGCGTCTCTGTTTGATGTTAGTGTTGTCCCGAAACAGTGTTGTAGTAGACGATAGTTTAAGAACCTTTCGTGATTACTCAACTAATTAACATATCGAACAATTACGGGTAAATCAATGGTTGGAGACAAATTTCAAGTTTGTACTTCGCATGGAACGTCATGAATTGCGACATTAGTGAATCACACAATTTTAGCCAATAAGGGGGCGTTTGTTGTACCGGACTGTCTCGGACTGGATTAGCTTCAGGGACTAAGCTGGACTAGTTTAGTAAAGTGTTTGGTGCAATGTCGGACTAAATACCAGAATAATAAAAAAATAAAAAATATAAAATTTTGTTCTCTTCTTGCCGTATTGGAATTGTCATCAATCTCACCATTGTTAACCGCAACTGCAAATAAAAAAATAATTAAAGGAATCAAAGAACACTAGAATGATGTTTGTTACACAAAAAAAAAAGATTCCAGTAAGTCTCTCTGTCTCTCCCTTTTTCTTTAGTCAAACTATCTCTCCTCATTTTCTCCATCTCTTCCCTTTCCGTTTCCCGTCCAGCTCCTTCTCCCCCACCTTTTCACCCTCTTCCCTCCCTCTCACAATTTATAATCAACTGTGCATATCTTCAAAATCAAACCACAAAGCAAAAAATAGAGTGTAAATTAAGGAGTTGGGGTAGGGTGCATGTGCAATTGGCTCGAAGGTGAAAGATAGGTAAAGTTTGTGATCAACAATTTTTATGTTTTCTGGGTTTGATCTACATCACTCCCATCGTTGATTCAAGCTCATCTCACAGATTTTTTTTTGAGTTTTCTGGGTTCGGTCTTCTGGGTTTTATGGGTTTTCTGGGTTCGATTTTCTAGGTTTTCAGGTTGTGGGAAGCCAGGATGGAAGAGATGGAGTGGGAAAAGCAGAGCGGTGGTAGCAAAAGATCCATCTTTGATGTCGTTTGGGTCGACCCAGATGGCGAAAGACCCCAAATCACCATCTGAAATGCCAAAAAGGGTGCTAGGTTTGCAGGACGATGGAGATCAGCGACAGCCGTTTCTGGTTTGGTCACTGGAGAAAAAGTGATGATGGTGCTCATGTTGGTTCGCGGGACGCGACTTGCAGACGAAGGATACGGGACTAGCAATCCCGTTGTTCTCGGGGGGTCTCGCTAAGACGATCTAGCGAGCCCCTTAGTCGAGGCGAGTGAAGGGTAATCCCACTAAAGCTAGTCCGGTTGTGTAACAAACATCGGACTGCCCTAATTTCTAATCTACTCCAGTCCAGTCCCACTTAATGAGGGCAAACAAACGCCCCCTAAGAAACTTAACAATCTCTAGGAGCCTTCTTTTAACTCCCGAAAAAATAAATTCCTGTCATGAAGTCACCAGAGATCCCCCTTTTTATATAAGAAAAATCTAATTAACACGTCGGACAAAATTAGCTCCGCACTTGGCCGTCAAGAAATAATTGACGAGGAAACAAAGAATCTCACATGACTCGTTCTTTAACCTTTCCACAAATATATATGAACTAATAAAAGCGAACAATCTTTTCACCTTCTCCTTTTGAATTCTCTCTGTTTCTTTCTTATGGAAGAAGAAAAATATCAGACGCAGTCCAAATGGCAAGGCAAAGCCTCCGCCGAGCTAAAACGCATGTCGCCGGAACGAGCCTGGCCGGCCCTGGCCAATTTCTGCAACCTACACAAGTGGTTCCCCACGGTTTCCGCGTGTCGCCAAGTGGAGGGCGTCCCTGGCCAGCCGGATCTGTTCCGGTACTGCGCAAGTGCACCTGTTGATTATGATGAGTCCACCATCAAGTGGTCTGAAGAGAAGTTGTTGACCATTGATCCGATCCAACGGCGCTTGAGCTACGAGGTCACGGAGAGCAATCTCGGGTTTAAGTCGTACGTTGCAACAAAGCAATTAGTTGCGATGGACAGCGGAGATGGGTGCAGGATCGAGTGGTCGTTTGTTAGCGATCCGATCGAAGGGTGGGGACTGGATGATTTTCTTTCCTACCTTGATTCTTCTGTTCAATTGATAGGAAAGACGATCATGGAGCATCCTTCTCTATCTGCTACTACTACTTGATATGTACTCAACCCTTCAACTTTAGTATTTGTGTTTGAGAATTGTTATTAACACTCCAAAAATCTCATTCTATACTCCACACAAGTGTATTTTTCATTTTAATTGTAAGAAGTTTGGAGTGCTAATAACAATTCCCTTTGTTTTATGTAATTTGTAATGACTTTTCTTTGTATTCAACTGTGCTTTGACGTGGTCTCATTTGATGGCCATGACTTGGTATGTCCTCATAGTTTACCTATCATCTTTCTCTGTGTAAATTATCTCGGGATCAATGTATTGGTCACTCAATATCGTCTCAAGTTATGCTAGCATCAGTCATCAAACTACAACAATATATCATGACTTGTGAGCGTGAATGATTCATATCATGTAGTCCATCTAAACAAAAATACGTGCAAGGGGAAAGTGGGGTTGTTGAACATTGATTTATAAGATCATTCCTTGTGCGCATTAGAAATCAATGGTGCCATGTACTTAGGAAGTTGACTACATTGGGCCAATGTAAACACCTCACATTTCTACAGTGTGTGAGTTGTTCTGATGCTCTCTCCATCACCATCTTCATAACCGCGGCAGGATCAACAGTAAACGACACCGCGTTGAAGAATGATCGTAAGAAAACAGCTTAAATGTGAATAACTTTTGACAGCTAAAACCAGAGGTATATAATAGGAAGGATATATGGCCTAACTGATTCAAAAAGGATGATTCGCTACATGTAAATTCCCGATTTTTTTTTTCTTTCGGAAAGAGGGTAGGTGAATTAAATTACAGGCCATTAACATCCTCGACACCAACACTCAATCTCTTATCCATCCAGTCAATTATATCCTGTGCAATCTCCACACGCTCCGGCTCAAAGAGAAGGTCGTGCAAGAAACCGTCATAGAGCTTTATATCTTTGAACTCGGATGCCGCCTCATTGTAGAGGTCCTGGGAGGCTAGTGGATCGGTGACTCTATCAGCAGTTCCATGAAGAACAAAGAAGGGGATATTCACAAACTTAAAGTTCCGCGTCAAGTGAGAGGAGATCCGCAATATCTCATAGCCTGTTCGGACCCTGATTGGACCTGTATAGACCAGGGGATCGGAGTACTTGGCCAACAATTGTGCAGGATCCCTCGACACTGGAATTCCCCTCTTGTTTGCACCTTTAAACTGGAACTTGGGAGCCACCATAGAAACAATTGGAGCCACAGCCTGAAACACATCAGAGAGTAGATTTGTAACATGTAAGCAGCTATGTAACGACTATGTGTTTAACACAGCTTCAAGCTTGGGGGGAGATAAAATCGCCTAAAGGCAGAGGCATTCAACATAGCAGTAAGGAACATACCCCAACAATTGGATGTGCTGGCTTAACGCGCAAAGCTGGTGATGTCAGTACAATACCCTCTAGCATTCCTTCAATTTGAGGGACTGCTGCCGCCTAAACAAATGTTGAGCAAATTTTAATGATAAACTTAAAACCCAATTATGTTGGACGCTCAGCAGATTTTTACCTTCAAGACAACAGCTCCTCCTGTTGAGTGACCAAAGAGGAAGCACGGTACTCCAGGGTTCTCTAACCTAATCTTCTCCAAGAAAGCACCCTATTGAAACAGTAGGATCAAAACCTTCAGATTGCAGGGGGATTTAAAAGTAGACACTTGGAACCAAAAAATATTAGGAAACAAAACTAAGCTCCCGCCTATATAGTCGAAAAAGATATGTTCAATTGTTCATACAGAAAATCCTAATAGCGACATGAGGGGATAGCATGCTGGGTTGAATGGAAATGCAGGATCTGTAATCAATTGGAGAAAATGCTGCTGAACTTACAGTGTCAGCAACAACATAGTCAAGTGAAGGAACGTATCCATGCAATCCATCGCTGCCGCCATGACCTACCACAAAGGGAACAATAGATTAATAAAAACGCAACTCCAACGACTTCAGAAATCATCCGAATCGAGTAGCCAGGTCCGCATTTCCCATCACAAACACCTACCATAATGCAAATGAGATATTCCCATAAATCCCCACAAGGTCCAGACATATATAATGCAAATGAGCCCGAATTTCAGTATCAACATGAGACTCCATTATCCTCTCTTCCTTTGCAAAGTAAAAGATTCAGAGGGACTCTACAAAAACATGAAATAGATTCCCAAAGTTCTCAAATTTTCTCTTTAACTCTCTGTTTCTCTCTTCGGCATAAACCTCTTTCGGACCTTAAATTGTAGTGAGTAATATTCGTTTTGAACTATAAAAGCGAAGGAGCCAAAATGACAAGAAATCTTAAAACTTTAGCTACCTATCCAGTCCATTGCATACACCCCAAAGTTGCATGAGGTTAGTTGCCTTGCAAAATCAGCATATCTTCCACTGCAAACAAATATCAAAGCACAAAATTTCAATCAAAACAACATTTAACTTTAAAAAAAAAACCCATCAAATTAAGAAAAAAATCCCCTGAAATTTTACCTGTGCTCATTAAGCCCGTGTATGATGATCAAAATACCCCTGAAGTTTTAGAAAAATAAAAAAACAAAAAACAATCAGAACTTGTGAAGATTATGCAGAAGACAGAACAAAAGCAACAGCAAGAAACCCAAATTCTAAAATTACATGCAAGAAGATTATAGCTAATTATTCTGTTAAATTACGCCGAATCCAGCACAAAAATACAATTTAACAACACAGATATTCAGAAAATTATAAAATTAAGTAAAAAAAACCGATGAAATTACACAAATTCAGACAATGAAGAATTATACCTTGGAGTGCCGGAGACCGGAAACCATGACCGGCAGAAGAGGGCGTTGTTGCGACCACCAAAGAACAAGAACGTGGCGGAGCGGTACCAGCAGTGGCCGTCGCCGGTGTGATACCCCTCAGCCAATGCTCTGCGCCTGAAGGTGTCCTCCTCCTCTCTCCTCCACGCCGACTTTCGCTTCTTAGACGACGGAGCATCCAGCAGAGACTCCGAGATTCCGCGGCGGCAACGGCGAGGAAGGAAGAAGAGGATGAGGGAGAGGAAGAAGGTGTGGATGAAGAGGAGGGAGGCTCTTAGGGTTTTGAGGATCGGGATTATGCGGTTGCTGGCTCCGGAGGTCAGCTGCTCCATCTCCGCCGTCGACATGGCCGGGTAATCGACGGTGGAGAATGGGAGAGAGGGAGGGAGAGGAATCCGGTTCGGGAGCAGAAACACAGAGGGTGGAAAAAAGGAAATGAAATGGAAAGTGGGAAGGAAATGATTTTGCCGGTTTAATTGGGATTTATAAACGGTTTTGTCGTTCGGAATCTTAGCGGTCAATCTTGGGCGTTGATTTGGTGGTGCCCGGTTGTTGACGGTTGGGATTTGAGGTTTGTTAATAATATGGTCCCGGGAGAAAGCGTGGAGGACAAGGAGGACCAATTCCTGTGTGGTTAGGTGACGTGGCGGGATCGATGGGTTGAGGGAGTGGTGATTTCGACTGTGGACGGTCGGGATTTAAAAGTTGCGGAGTTTGGTGTGTAGGGGAAAATCGAGTTTGATGGTACGGTCTACGTCAAAGTATTAAATTGTGGGCAGGCCGTTGGGGAGATAAAGGTGCGCGCCATAATATACGTTAAGTTGGTTTTGGCTGAGCAGCTCGGCTCGAACCATGCACAGCTCGGCTCGACCCCTTCTCTTTTTTAATTCTCTAAAAAAATTTAAAACCTCTATTAAATACACCCTCTTAAGATTAAGATTGTTCTTAAAAAAATTTCTTTATAAGCCTTTTTGTTATACTTTAGTGTATTTAGTAAAAATATGGTGAAGTTTATATTTATAATTTTAACAACAGTTTTGTAACTCAAAAGTATTTTTAAGATTTTTAATTAAACAAAGGCAAGAAGCACTTTTTTTTCTCAAAATTTGTTTAGCTCTTTTAAAAGTAGCCTCAAACAAAAATCATATGCAAGTGCATCTTTTTCTTATTAAAGGTAGAAGAACAATGTGTGTAAAGATAGGCAATGATGCAAGTACAATGATTTTGTTTCGAAGAAATGTGTGTATATCTTATCTAGACAAAACTCTCCTTGCATTTCAATCATTAAATTAATTTGACGGTAAATTAATCAATGAAAATTTATTATTCTTGTTCCATCCTGAACAAAATAATCAATCTACTTTCACTCCTACTGAAACTATATTTCTCCCTTTCTAAATTTTTTTTTCGTGTATTAAAAAGGAGAATAACACATGTTTCAGATTTCACACTATTTATACCATATTTAGGGCCTCGTATTTAGATCTCGTATAAATACTCGGGAGACTTAAAGGTAATTATGTAATAAAGGGCCTCTTTACCCTCACAAACCCTAAGCCTTCTTACACCTCCTAAGCTCTAAGCTCTCTCTCTCCCTCTTCAACAGAGTAACATAATACAATCAGTGTGGACGTAGCCCAAACCTTGAGGTGAACCACGATACATCTTGTGTCATTTACATTTCTTGCAGATTCACGGTCGAATTTACGTTGTTCCAAAACCTCCGGTTTTGTGCATCAACATTTGGCGCCGTCTGTGGGAAACGATATGAAAAGTTGTGTCGGTTCCTTTTTTCATTTTTCACCTCCGCCGTGAATTTGCAAAATAACAAAAAACCAAATCCATCACTCTCAATCTCCACCAAGATTTAGCATCTCCACCTAATTGGGTCCAATCCATTCCCTTCAACCAAACACAACCGAATCCCAGAAATCCCATGTCATCAAAAATCAAACTCACCCATTTCCCCAACCTCCAATCCTCACCTCCCCTCGATCTTCTGAGCCGAATCGGCGAAACCCAATAGCCCATTTCTCAGAAATATCACTGCTTTTGGGTGGTTGCAGAGTCGCGTTGACCATGTTGGAGGCCTTGCCGGACGGAGGTGATTTGCAATTGGTGCATTTGGAGATTCCAGAATTGCAGTGTTATGTTGTCTATTTTTGCAACATTTTCCATGGACTCCTCCTGAACTTTTGCGACCCGCCGGTTCTTTTTTTTCGTCATTGCCTCATTCTTGGCTTCCAACCCTTCATATTCCCTCACCCAGCAGCAATGCAACACACGACTCATCACCAACACCAACACCTGCATCATCAACATCGCCATCAGAACCCCGCATTCCAACCTCACCAACAACTTGGCCTCTCTCAGGTCCCGTGGTAACTTGATCAACGACATGGTGCTGCGCTCTTTGGTGAACAATACTAGTGTGCCGAGCAGCTGTGCGACCAG